AGATAGATTTCGGTAGGGTCAGATCGTTGACCTAGGCCCAGGCTAGGTAAGAAAATTTGAAGAGGAAGCACGAAGGAAGAAAAAGCGCTAGCTCAACGTCTTATTCGTCCATTTAGATAAAGTTTGTGCCTCCTTTCGGCTCTCGGAATGAAAGTAACCAGAATGCCCTTTATGTGTCGAAGGTATATGGCTGTAGTATACATTATTTGATCTATGATCATAACTGTTTTTTTTTTTCAGGAAAAATCCATGACTATTGTCCAGAGCGCTAGGGGCTCCGCTTTCAACAAGGGTTCATCTTTACTGAGACGTTGGATACGATCGAGAACTTGTAATAATTTGCCGATACCAGTAGAATACTGTCTTTGCCGATACGAAAAGAAAGAGTTGAAGTAAGTTTTGCGATCTTGTACTTTATTTTTTCAAAAAACTCTTTTCTGATGTTCAGAGATGATCGCTTACGACAAAGAATTGGTGAGTTTATCGCTAGCCAGCTGAATACGTACCTTACAAATGTAGGGATCGCGAACATATGCCTCAATCAGGAATACGAAAAGGTGAGAGAAAGCTACTATGGTCCCTCTCAATCGTAGTGTCCTCGCACGCGTGGCGCCCGCGCTGATGCGAAGCCGCGCGCCGAGAAGACACTGCAGTTAGAACAGGCTGTATAACTTTAATCGAGCTAGACAATTTATTTTGAGACGTTGGACGCTCAACAATTGCAAACTGGAGAGAACACAACACTCTATTCAATGTTCGTAAGGCTAAAACCAATGAAAGGAGATTTCACGGTCAGTACTCGTTCGTAGCGTTTCTATTTAGAGAAAATATCACCCAGAAGTAATTAATATTAGGCAGAGGTACTGGGAACCACATCCGGTTTCCAGCTTGTCTCAGGTTTCGACAGATGGGACCACAGAAAACGAGGACATTGTGCACCCAAAGTGTTTCGTCCACTTTGTCAGTGTTCCTCAACCTAAGCTGTATATAGGTTTTCTACATTTCGAAGTTCTATGTTGTTATTGGTAGTTGTCTTCCAACTAAAGCATCTTTACTGCGACGTTGAATCAAGAAATAAATTCAGTAGGAGCTCTATATGTTCAGTCACAGCCCGTATATGATTACTCATGATATGGCTCAAAAATGAATCTTTTCAATATTTCAAGCACGACAGATTCTCGCTACACTGTTGAGATGCGAAAAGGTATAAGCTACTTCAAGACGAAGGCCGGCCATGTATGCGAGGCGTGCGCGGGCGTACGAGTTCCAATGATGAAAGATGCGCGAACAGCGCTCGCAGCCGCTTCGCACGTTAAACCGACCGCCTTCGTCATGGAGAAGCTATTGACTATGAAAAGCTTATTGATAGAATCGTTGCAGTGACAGCAGAACTGCATAGTGAACTAAATACTTCAAAAATCTGGTTTGTAACTTGAAGGCAGCGTCCAGGCAGACGTCCGACCTAGAGGACCACGCCCACTTCCTCGCACGGCCCGCCTCCTTGA